GCACAGCAGGCCAAGCAGCATCATAGGAGCAGAAAGGCTGACGTTTCGGGCCTAGGCCCTATGATGCTGCTTGGCCTGCTGTGTTCATCCAGCTCTGCACCTTGTTGTCTTGCTATCTACACATTGGTTTTCACATACACTGTCCAGAAGGCTGCTTACTCCTCATCTCTATGCAAGACTCTTCAACACCTTATACACTATAGCACTTCTTTGTTTACATCAGTACACCACTGATTATCAAACACAGGTCCCTAGAATAATATCTAAGATTGCTCTCTTCACATACTCATTCTAGACTGGTGTCATCTCTCACTGATAACAGAGTCATTTGTGTAGTCACATCATTGTGATTTACATGCATCTTATGATATCACAGCTATAATTCCAAACAGCAGAAAGTACCCTGCCCCTCTGTCCACTTATGGCCACCCCTACCACACACCCCAAAAACCTTCAAACCTCCCACCACGCCCTCTGCATACTTCACCCCGCCATCACTTCCCAGTTACCCAATTTTGCTCAGGAAACTACAATTCACTACAAACAGCATTTTATTTTGAAGGAAGCTAGTCAAAGCATAACCATACTATACCATACGTTTCCCTGTATTTTGTAACAAAGGTACATGTGACAATAAATATATCAAATCATTTGTTCATCCTTGTGTATCTTTTTTAATTAAATAAATGAAACAGGCACTTTACTAAACTTGTGGTTACAAGATACATCAAAAATGAACTCCAATATCTTATCCCACAACTTCAAACCTTTGAAGTGCCTCTTTTTCAGCATGGTGCTGTTTTTAATTAGTCTTACAGATGGCGCTTGCCAAGTTTCATAACCTTGAAGCTTCTGCACCAACCATCTTCATAATAAAAGCAAGTCTGAAAACAGTTATTACTCAAATTCTGTGAAAATAGGAGTGACAATTCTGGGGTAGGAGAGCTTTTACATTTATTTAACACTTCTGTTTCTATAGCTCAGCACATATAAAATATGCTACATTGATAAGATTGTACTTAAAATAAGATAGACCTGAAATATTCTCTATAAACCTAATACAAAAAGAAGTTGAATGTAAGGAAAACAACAGCTTTTCAAGGCATTTTCAAACAGTTTCAATCAGTCAACAAATTGTTCTTGATACATTTACCTTGCAAGTCCATCATATGTTACAGTCTCAATGTAGTCATAACGGCTGTCAACCCAATAAACTCTTTTTGTTATGATGTCCAGTGTTATTCCTGCAGGCCATCCTAGCTTTGTCTTGACTAGTTCAAAGCGATGGGTTCCATCCATAAAGGATCGCTCTAGTTTAGGTTCTCCAGAAATATTATTCCAGTCAGAGAAGAATAAATAGCTGGAAATTAAGAAATTGAAATTTTAAGCTATTTGTTACAACACAAAGTTATCAGTTTGATCTATTACTTGATCTAATTTCACTTTATTTTATAAACATTAAAAAATGTTTATCAAATCATAACAGGAAGAGCAAATTTATTTTAATAATGCCATTGAATATGATACATCCACCTTGAGACCCCCATGGGCCTTTGTTTAACCTTGCCCTGTTTGACAGTACGACGCTTTTTCAGTATTGCACGAAAGTATTAATCTAGATTAGAGCTCCATTCTTTGTTACCAGGTCGGGTATACAGTGGTGGAAGAATTCCTGGCTCCATGATGTTAATATCCCATAGAATACTTGTCCACCCCACTCCCCCTACAGTACCTGACCCCGACTCCAACCCCGCCCCTGCATCCAGCATCATATCCTTAAGAGCACCTTATGGCTCTAAAGGGGTAACCTGCCTATCCAAATAAAACCAGAATATTCAAACTCATTCTTAGCAGGTTTAATGTGCATGCTACAGGGCTTCATGCTACAGGGATGCCAAAATCCCACTTCACTGGGAGCAGAATGGGTGAATAGAATGGCCAGCTGTCACCAAAAAATGCACATGCACAAAGCATGGCCTAGCCATGTGAAGTTTAAAGTTCAGGCTACTTACACCATTTTTGCCATGATACAGAGCCTCTCAATAAGGGTGAAAACTTGGACCCAAGTGCTCAAATCCCTGAAAGGGGTCTTGAATCCCCAACATTATGATTCAGAGACAGGACTGCTGCCATTGAGTCAATGTTAACTGCCTGACATTACAGGCACTTGTTAGCAGATCTGTTTAGCATCCAAGGGAAATTCAATATCTAGTACTACAAGAATTAAGGTACCCCAGTTCAATTTTGACGGACCATTTTGTAAACAACAAATTGGTACAGAGCTCAGAAAGCCAGGATCCACTTCCAATTCATTAAGTTGATATAAACATTAGCCATCCTCGCCACCGTGGTTGTGATAGTGGAAGCAAACCAGGTTAATGCAACATATTTGGTCACTTTCCAAAGACAGGTAAGTAAGGATTTGTTTCAGAATACAAAATAAATATATTTGGCTCTGACTCCAGCATCTGCAGTTCTTGCTATCTACAAAATAATTATGTTGGCTCTTACCCTACAGTGGGGTCCACAGCAATGCCTCGAGGGTTTCCCAGGTTTTCTGCAATCAGTGTTATTCGATTACTTCCATTCAGATCTACTACTTCAATTCGGCTAATGCTCGTCTCCACCACGTACAACTTATTGTTCACCCAGTCCACAGCTATGTTTTCAGGAGAGTCAATGGAAACATTCAAAATTTGTTGGATTCTAGAGCCACTGTGATCTACAGAGAACACCTAATAAACCGAGAAAACCAAGTTACGTAGTCCCAATATAAGCCTTTCAAATCATTTTGATTAATTTGTACAATTTTACATGCAGTTTAATGTCAAAGAGAAACACAGAATACATGACATTGCATTTATATAATAGATACTATTCTGTACTAAGGGGATTTGTATTTTTGGGTGCTATTCCTCAGTTATTTTTCATTAGAAGCTTAAACTGACCAGTCAGACTCTCATTGGGTAATAGGTGTGGATAGTGGGTAATTATAAGCAAATAGAAGTGTCCTTTGTAAACTGGCCCTATGATTCTTTGGCTACAGGAGTATTAGATTGTTGCGGGGGGGGAGGGCATCTCTCTTGATGCTTTCACAGTCCATTTACAGCTGTTGCAACTCCTCCTCTAATTATTAAATGTCCTAGTTGCTTTGGTCAATTGGCATCAAAGTAGGTGCTCTCCAAAGAATTTATCCTTCCACACTGTGACTGAGACAAGTGAGGAAAGGTTCACTGTTTGATTAGCAAAAAGGTGAATATAGGGTTTGGTGGAGTTAGATGCAAGGATGCTCAGGAGAGCTAGCCTTTCTCAGGTTTGAATTTTTCAGCACTTTGCAATTGCCCACGGGAATTCATTGTCACCAGCATAATTCCCACATTAAACAATGTACTTTATTTGGAATATAGAAAGTTTAATCAGGTAAGTGTAACCATATTAGCAACAGGTTATCAACAGTAAAATACCTTTGGGAAATCAGAATTTAGAAACACAATATGCATGGTGTTAAAGAGCTTTCAACACAAGTTCATATTTCCCAAGACATTGGTTCTGTGCCCACTTTTGGAAAGGTTACCGACCTTATTCTGCATGGTATCTGTCCAAAAGATTTTGCCCAGATAGTAGTGAAAATCCACACCAACAGCAATGCCACGATTGCGAGACTGTACAAGAATCCGTACATTCCTTCCATGAACATCACCAATCAGCAAATCACGACCATTTGAGAAGATAATGGATGGAATTCCAGCTAAAAGGCAGGAAGTAATTTTACATTAAATGCTTGAAGGGTTCCAAAATATGTTTCAGCTATGCTAATCCAAATTTAAGAAATAATGCTTACCGTTTATTGTGTCATGGCCATAGCTATAGTCACAGATGCTGCAATATATGTCAATTTTTAATAAGCATCTGGGCACAGGCTTCATAACAACTGAACAGAAAATGCACAAAAAGTCATATTCTTCCTAAAATTAGTATTGTTATTGGTTCATTTGAAGGGGCTGGTTAAGTTCAATAAATAGGCAGTCTGAGTTCTTGCTAATTCAATTTTATGTAACCACTTTTTCATTTTTGGTTGTGATTTTATTGCTGACCAAGTTATGTCAGAGACTCCGAGAACTCTATTTTCATAAAAGCAGACTTCTGAAATTTTGTCTTGTAGCTTTTATCATTTAAACTGGTCATTTCCTAATAATCATCTGCAGACTTTACAGAACTTGTTGAAATACCACAGACATGAACACTTCTGTATGAGCATTGCATTTAATTCATTAATCTGACAGTCAACAACATAAACAGATGCTGATGATACAAAAGGAAAATAAAACCCATCAAGCAACCAAAGTAATGTGAATTATATTAAACAAGTCCACAATGTAAGATGTGAATTTTAGGTTTTATTTTTATCAAAGATTTCATGTGGCTGTCATAAAACTCTGTAGTGTTGCTCCAATGGCTTACATAGTTCTTTTAAATTTATTTTTTCCACTTGAAGCTATACAGCACAGAAACAGACCCTTCAGCCCATTCATCCATGTCAACCAGGTTTCCTAAACTGAATTAATCCCATTTGCCTGCATTTGGCCCACATCCTCCAAATCTTTCCCATCCACATACTTTTCCAAATGTCTTTTAAATGTTGTAATTGTATCCATCACTTCCACTTCCTCTGGCAGCTCGTTCCTTATGTGCACCACCTTCTGTGTGAAAAAGTTGCCTGTCGGGTCCCTTTTAAATCTTTCTTCTCACACGTTAAACCTATGCCCTCTGGTTTTGGACTTCCCTATCCTGGAGAAAATACCTTGTCTATTTATCCTATCCATGCTCCTCGTGACTATAAACTTTTATAAGATCACCCTTCAGCCTCCTATGCTCCAGGGAAAAGTAGTCCCAGCCTATCCAACCTCTCCTTATAACTCAATCCTTCCTGTCTTGGTGGCATCCTTGTAAGTATTTTTTCACCTTACCAGTTTAATAACATGTAAGAGGGCAACCAGAATTGTATGCAGTACTCCAAATGTGGCCTTACCAATGTCTTGTACAGCCGTACCATGACATCCCAACTCCTGTACTCAATCCTCTAACCAATGAAGGCAAGCATGCCAAATGCGTTCTTCACTATCCTGTCTACTTGTGATGCCACTTTCAAGAAACTATGTACGTGCATGACATAAAGATGGCTGACTTCCCTTATGCATTCATGTAGACATCAAGGCATGAGAAGGTGAACCAGCAACTTTAGCAATAAGGAGGGTATTCACTTTATAATGTTCACTGATCTGCAATCACTGCAAAGGTATATATTAGTGTTCAGTGTTATTCCTTCCATCAATCTGCAAGATAGCAGAATGGAGTAGATGAGTGATGCCTAGAAGTCATGTATGGTCTTCTAATCCCTCTAAGATACAGCATATGTCAGAATCCAGAATCTAGATGACAGTGGTATGAATGAACATCCAAAGCTGCAAAAACTAGTTGTATTAAAGGCTACAAGGATGGGGCAAGGAGAAGGAGGGTGCAAAGGTAAAATAACCAGTTTAAATTTTTTAACAAAGGAATACTCAGCTGAGATTGAAGAAAAATTGAATCACCATAGTAATGAGTTTTTGGCAAATATTATGGAATCCCTTGCTTAAAGCCAGATAAATTCATAAAAAACTAATTGGAGTTTTGGGTGGGGGGAATACATTGGATGCTATTGTAAGAACCATTGTGTTGATTGTTAAATTTAACTCTGAGATTAAGGTCTGAGATTCAGTAATTACAATACTGTAATTTCCTGGTTAAAATCTTCCACAGCTGTACATGCACTTTTTAAAAATTCATCCATGGAATGAGAGCATCACTCACTTCATAGATCATAGATCATAGAATTCCTACGGTTTAGAAACAGGCTATTTGGACCAACAAGTCGACACTGCCCCTCTGAAGAGGGTCCCACCCAGACCCATTATCCTACCCCTGATTTCCCCATGTCTAAGCCACCTAACCTAAACATCCCTGAGCACTATGAGCAATTTAGCATAGCCAATCCACCTAACCTACACATCTTTGGACTGTGGGAGGAAACTGGAGCACCCAGAGGAAACCCACACAGACACGGGGAGAGTGTGCAAACTCCACACAGACAGTCACCCGAGGATGGAATCGAACCCATGTCCCTGGTGCTGTGAGGCAGCAGTGCTAACCACTGAGCCATCGTGCCGCCCCCATAACCAACGTTTATTGTCCATCCCTAATTGAGCAAGATGTATTTAAGAGTCAACCACACTGCTGTCACATGTAGGCTAGACCAAGTAAGGATGGCAGATTTCCTTCATAAAAGGACATGAGTGAACCAGACAGCTTTTTACGAAAATCAATAGTGGTCATATAGTCACCAATAAGCTAGATTATTGCTGAATTAAAATTTTGCCATCTTCCATGGTGGGATTTGAATACATGTCCCCAGAATATTAACCAGGGATTCTAGATTACTAATCCAGTGACACTACCACTGCATCACCACCTCCCCTTAAGTGGAAATGTGTTAGTTGTCAGCTCACCAGTCCCTGGAAGGTACATTTTGGGGTAATGGTTTGGATAGCTAGGCTACTCATTTAGAGAGGTAAGATGTGCAGATGTGATGCAGAATCACATGGTGGGGGTATCCTTTGTGATTCTTAACAGTGGGAAATTGGGCCTAAAAGGTGCACAAGACTCTTGGAGTTGTGAAACCTGCCAATTTGTGTAAAATCTGCCAAGATATATCAAAGTGCTTTTATGAATGAGATGGCTTTTCTTGAGAGAGTATAGTTTGCAATTTAGATCATTAAGTAACAGAAATTTACTTTTTCTCCTGTGTCCTTGTGGAGGTGAGTTGGCATAGTAGGTGAAGAGGGAAGAGTAGATGGTTGGAACCATGAGTTTACAGGGGTGAACACTAAATTTGCATTGGGGCACCAGGACCATGGGGGATGGGTAGAGGGGCATATGTGGTATGAGGGATAAGTAGAAATGAATAAGGTAGCATAGAAATGGACATTAGAAATGATTAGCAGGCATTAGATGGCTTGGATGGAGCATAGGAGTTTGAGGGTTTGAGCAGGGTACGTGGAGTGAGGGCTGGAGGAATGTTTTATGTTTTATTCTTTTATTTTCATTTTTTGATGCAACCACGAAGCCCAAAGCGGGCTTTTGATACAGCTCAACTCAGAATCCAGCAGTATCCTCATTCATTCTTCCTGGGAGACCAGGAATCAATCAACTAACAATTCAGCCCAACATCACTAGACCAAAACTGTGGAGCTTGTTCAATCATTTTTAAAACTTGAGTTTGTGAAGCTGGAAATATTCCCATCTCTGCGTATCCAATCTGGAAGTGAAAACTAGGGCCTCAGACTCAGACTAGAATGGCCCTAATGCACTATTCAAAAAAAACAGCAAAAGTGTTCTCTTACTGTCTTGGCCACTATTTGTTCTTCGAACAACAATACTAAAACAAATTAATTGCTGTGTTTTCCTTTACTACAACAGTGATTGCACTTCCGAGGCACTTCATTGGTTGTGAAAGGTACCAAATAAAAACAAGATCATTTGTTTCTCCTGATTGACACTGAAAGGAAAAAAAGTCTTTATTGAAAGAATAAATAAGAAGCTGATGCTCGAAACTTACATGAGGAATTTGCTCGGCAGTGCTTGTGGTGCTCTAGAACATATCCCTGGACACAGGAACATGCATGGCTTCCAATTCGGTCTTCACACAGCTGGTCACAAGCTCCCCACATGTTACATTCATTAAAATCTAAATAAAGAGAGAACAGAAAATAATTGAATTTCTTTTGGCTCTTTTGGTTCACTCTCGTCATGGTTGAGGCGGGACTATGATAGGCAGACCACGAATTAGGTCAGGGTCTTGATCACGAATCCTGGCCATCCAAGCATAAATTCCTGTGAGACCTGGGCACTCCAACACTAACAATGAAATACCAGGGAGGAGATTCTCAGATTGGGAGAGATAGTGGGAACTGCCGATGCTGGATTGCTGATGCTTCTCAGATTGGGAGTTCCTTTTGGCTTGACCGAGAAGAACAGCAGAAGCTGAAATGCTGAATAAAAGCCATAGCTTATCAGGCCATTAATTGAGCTAAAAGGGACAAGACAGAAGTGCAATCATGTGCTGTACTCAAATTTTGCAAAAAAGTAAACACTTTGCAGTTTCCTTTAGCCACATATAAACGGGACTTCAGGGCCATGTGTGACTTTTTCAGCATTACCTCACTTTATTCCCAGCTTGCTCCATCACATTTCGTCCTTTGCCTCCACTTTTAAGCTGCAAATATGCTTATACTAGGTGGGCATCCTTGTCACACTAATAAACTATCCTGCAAGAATCACGATTGAAAGACTTTGCCATTGACAACCGATGATCAGCCCATTGGCTTTCAAACCTTGTAGATTTAAAAGCATTTAATTGTCCTTGCACACTAGCATAAACAGTACCATTAATGTCAGACAGGGCAATAAAAAGCATCCTGAAGTATTTGCAGCACTCACCAATACAGGAACGGCCATCAGTGTTCACCACAAATCCCAATGGACAATAGCATACTCCCCCTGATGGGGAAGCATGACAGGCATATTCACAGCTTAAAGCAGCACAGTTGATTACACCTAAAAGGAGATAAACATATCATGTGATTTAAGGGAGACTTTGAATTAAAAAAAAGACAAAAATACAAACATGTTGGTAACAGTATAATCAGGTGGCTAAATTTCCTTGTGACGTCCAAGAATTTTTTTAGAAATTAAAATCTGTGATCTTGCATTTATTTTGCAAGCTAAACTTTCCTTAACCCTTGTTATGCACATTGAACTTTACAAAATATTATGTTTTTAATAGTTTCTTTAATTTAAGGTAAAGCAAAATGATGTGGATAATAGTGAATAGTGAAACTACTAAACCTTTATTCGGAGACAGCCCATGTGATTTGGTTGCCATGGGGAAAGAAACTTAAACCAAAACCTGTTGAAAATCCAGGACAGTCTTAACATCTGAACAGAAAAACAGAGACAACTGCCTTTTGACGAAAGACACAGAGAGAGAGAGAGAATATGATAAAACAGCCACTGCTGTGAAGAACAGCAAAAGAAGCGTTAGAGCCAAACAAAATTAGGAACTGATCACACATTCAAAACAAAAGGGCAATACATCTTTGGAGATTTAAGAAACAAGGGTTTGCGAGATGGGTCTTTATGGTAGAAGTCAGTTCTGGAATACTCAGGCTGAGTGAAGTCGCTATCAAAAGATACTGAGAATTTGACCTGGCACGGAAAAGAGAAGTGAGGCTGCTGAAAAGCTGGAAATAACCTGAGACTTAACCTTAATGTTACATATTTGCCAGAAATGTAGAACAAAAAAGCAAAAACTTCTGTAAGACATATTTATTTTAATGTTGAGACAGTTGGGACTGCCGATGCTGGAGAATCTGAGATAACAAGGTGTAGAGCTGGATGAACACAGCAGGCAAAGCAGCATCAGAGGAGCAGGAAAGCTGACGTTTCGGGCCTAGACCCTTCTTCAGAAATGGGGG